CTGCCTATGGTTACCACCCGGTCAGTCCATTCAAAGGAGGGTGGACTGCCCAGGCCACAGCTCCCATGATCCAGTCGCTCCACCTCTGAACATTTCTGCATTAATAAGGAGCTTTGGGGGACCCCCACGTCCAAACCATAAGAGTAACATTGAAACTCTGTGTGCCTCCGTGAATCTGGCATTTTGGAAAAGGTGGTGGTAAAGGGATAAATGAGGATCAGAGGGGTAAGAGGCTGGATCGGGGTGAACTGACCCCGCAGGGCCGGGGAGCCGTGGGGTGATGGTGGTCTACAGATGGACGGTGCTGCCGGCACACCAGGCCCAGGTGTCCACAGTGAGCACAAAAGAAAAGTCAGAGTGTCCCAATCTACTAAAGAGTGGACTCTAGGATTAGAGACGTCCTACAAAGGGCACCACAGACAAGGCTTCCCCCGCGGATTCTCCAGACAATGGGGAGGGAGGCTGTCGGCTCTCCAACACTCCTCAGCTACCTCATGAGGCTGCTGGAGTCGCAGCCTGGGAACTGGGCCTGAAGTCTCGGTGTCCATTGAGAGCAGCTGAGAGGCCACAGGGTGTGACCAGGGACGTGGAGGCCTGCGGGGAGCGTGGCCAGGGAGGAGGTTGGAAGGGAGCAGGTGGTATGCACAAGCTGGTGCAGACTGACCAGCAGGAGGACCCCAGCATGTCACAAAATGCCACCCCACCCAGAGGTACAGCCACCATAAACATGTCACACCTGACATGGGACCCGAAATAATGAAGAAACAGGCAGATTGAAGGAGCAGGCGGTTCCAGTCCTACAGTAAGAGTGGAGACTTCAATAAGGCACTGAACCTCGCTGAAAAACTGACTCCAGAGCTAGATGCACGTCCAGAGGGACGGGGAGGCTGGACGGCCTCCAAGACAAGCAGCGACAGACCAGGGACACTCTCAGCCACAGAACACGCCTTCTCCCCCACGGGCCACCACCATCCTCCAGAGCCACCGACCTGCCAGCCACAAAGCTGCTCTCAATGACGTAAAGAGACTGAAGTCACAGAGACTGTCCTCTGTGACACAGTGACATGGAAGTGGGAAGAAAGCGGAGTTCACCAAAACGGTGAGTCAGGCCACAGCAGGTGAAGGAGTCTCAGGGACCTGGGAGGGAAAGGGAGGCCTTGGGGTGAGCGGGGGGAGCACAAGCCCAAACCTAGGTGTCGTGGAGCCCTGGGAAGGGAAGGCTTGGAGGCGCCCTGAGAAATGAAGTGCACAGTCCTGATCAGAGTGAGTACGCCCCACGCCTGTGCCACACACTGGAAATCCGCCTCAGGGGACCCAAAGTACAAATGAAAATGAAGACATCTGTGGGGCTGGGGCTGGGGCAGCGGCAGAGCGACTGGTTCACTCCTCAGCACCACATGAAAAATTTCTAAAAATTACGGCATGCTGTCCATCTGCAGCCACAAATTGAAAAAAATAATAATAATAAATAAAAATATTTGTAAATGGTAAAAAATGGATAAAAATATAAATAACAAATCAGTGATTTCACACAGTAAGAAACTGTAAAAAGAGAAAACTAACTCCAAAGGTAGCAGAATAACCCTTTAAAGATCACCCACTGAGGACCAGTATCACAGAAGTGATTAGGGCCAGGTAAATAGAGAATAGGAAACCCATAAGAGAATCCGCGAAAGCAAAGTGGGGTCTTTGAAAAGAGCCGTAGGGTTGACAGACCTGTGGCTGAACTGAACAGAAACAAGGTTCAGTCATAAGGGAAAGTGGGACGTCACCACCCCCTTATGTGAGTAAGACTGGAGGAGGACATCGGGCTGCTCCCAGCTCAACGAGGCGCGATGACAACTTCCCATGAATACACAAAGGAC